TTCGCTATGAAGACGTTTCGCTATGAACAAATGTCCCGATGCATCCATTCGGGGCCGGCCAGCTTGATGATGCTGAGGGCAATCAATCAGTCAGACAAATAGTTTGTATCGTCGCACATTTGACAAGGCATCGCGGGTTTTGTTTGCGTCTTGCACCCGTTGCCAGTGCCCATTGATTGCCTACCTAAATTATTGCATTCATTGCGTTGCATATAAATAAAATACGTAGGTATTCATTTTTCCTACAGTTCATCGTGGATGGACTAAGGGCGGCTTGGGGACTTTAAATCAATGGCATCATTCACTGACTTTAACACTGTTCAACACTGTTAGATTGGATTCACTTATTTGTGTGTGTGTGTTTTTTAAACACGTTCCGAAATATATCAAACTTAACACCTGGACAAGAAAGTACCACCAACAAGTCGCTGTGCTGTATGACAGGCTTGCTGAATAGTATGCACGGCTGACAGTACCCAGTCATACAAATCACCGCACAGTGGCCCTTTTTCAGAATTAGCACGCATAAATTCAAAATATTTTTTCTCTTCTTTTGAGTAAAAAGCAGTCTTATCGTGTGCAAAACATTCCAAACTATCCGATGGTGCTATTTTTACCTCCTGAAAAATAGTTATCTTTGGTAAAACTGACCGCAAAATCGAAGTTTGTCGAGAGGCGCGCGGACACCACCGGCGGACCCTAAAAAGTAGAGTGAGATGAACATCAATTTGTAAGACTTTCGATGTGAAAATATTAAAAATGAGTGGCATGGCTGTGAAGCTGAGTTTACGTAGAAGCCCTAGAAACCACTATTTTCATTATATAAACAAATAGACCACTTTTGCCGAATATTGTGGACACAATAACAGGACAGTTTGAGTTATTAACTGGAGATGGCGGCATACATATGAAGCTTTATGTTAAGTGGCACACTCTGGAACATGTCGTATTATACATCGTTCGAATCGCCGATCTCTTCTGACCATGTCCACCAAAGGGCATCGCGCCATTTTGCGCCATTTTGCTTCTACGGTGGATAACGTGAGCCAGTTCAGTCCGCGAGCGGCTGTGGCTCCTGTTCGATACGACTAAGCTCATTGACCTGGCTCGAAGCTAGTGTCACCTGGGGGGCATTCCACGTCAAATCAAACACCGAAATCCGTCATCCCCTTCGATTTTTCTGAAAATTTGTAGGCAGACTGGGCATGGTTCAAAACTGAGTTACGTATAATATTTTCGAAATTTGATAACGTATCGCTGAGATATAGGTCATCGAATATAGCGAAAAATGCCACACATCAATTTTTTAAATGGCTATAACTCTGGTTCCTTTTCTGGTATCAAAATGATATTAACAGGGTCTTATAGGCAATTGATAAGGCTTTGATTTTTAATTATAAAATTAAATTGAAGTGACCTTGAAATGCATTTGACCTTGAGTTAAAACAGAAAAATTTAAATAGCAAAAAACACGTCACCTTCGATTTGGGTAATTTTTACATATTATGTCCGTCACAATGTTCCCAACCATCTGTGAAAAAATTGGAGTGGGCCATTCATAACTTTCGCGGCAAACGCCGCTTTCATGCATCAACATCACGCAACCGCGCGTGACCTTGAAAGACAGAGTCAAGACATGCTTGCTTGTGTACACTTTCTGAAATGAATGATTGCTGATTAGTGATATCCCAAACTCTGCGAGAATGGAAATGCATAGTCATCGTAGTCAAGCATTCACGTTCCATAGTAAAAGTGTCTCAGGCAAACGGTATTTTGCGGTGAATTTTGAGCCGTGTGGAAATGCATCATGAAGTAAATTCAACGAAAACATTATCACGCAACGATATCTTCACGTCTTTTGATCTTCACTATCCGAAAGAACATACATTTTTTAGTATGTATGGGGAATTTCTAGTTAATCCAATAATAAATATGGCAGTTAGAGGCCTGCTAAGAGTAACATGTCGCCGGCTGAGGCGGGCTCGGCCGGTGCGGGAAACGCAGCAATCACAATTTTGTGTTTACACGTTCATATTTCAATTGTTTAGCAACCGATTTTCAAAATTCTTTCACCATAAGATTGCCTGTACATTTCTTAGTCTTCTCACAAAATTTGACGCGAATCGAACGTAATCAGCGGTAGGGAGCGCGATGTAAAGACGGAACCGTTCCGTTCCGTCCCGGCACAGTCTACAATTCAGGCGGCGCGTAGCGGTCGGCGCCGGCTGCCGAGTCGCCGCGTCGCTGCGGCGACAGGATGTTCACTTTACACCGCTATTACTAGAACAGTTGTGAACCGATTTTCTTATTGCTTGCACGATGAGATGTCCAATTCAATTCTTGACAGGTAGCCATAATTAATTTCGCATTAATCTTATGAGATATTGGCGAAAAACAGGAGGGGTGAGCGAAATTCGCTCTTCCCCCTCCACTGCGCGTGCTAACATACGTTTGCATATGTGCAATTTTCTTCAAAACTTATGAATGGCCCACTCTAATTTTTTCACAAGTTGTTAAGAATATGGTAGGCAATAAAATATATGAAAATGAGCCAAATCGAAGGTGACGTGTTTTTTGCTATTTCAATATTTGTGCTTAAGAACAGAGTTAAGCAATTTTCAAGGTCATATATTTAAGTAGGTGCAATTCTAAACAAATGCTTAAGAAATTACCTAAACAGTAAGGTTTATTTCATTCAAATCAAACAAGTACAACCAAAGTTATGGTCGTTCAAAAATATAAAGATGCAACATTTTGTAAAAATTTGATGCCCTATATTTAGAAGACCTGTGGTCAGAATGTGCAAAAAACATCAATGTAATGTCCGGGGCCACACAGGAACTCGCTCACAAATTTATACTGAAATCGCTGATGGTAAGGTGCAAAACAGCCGATTTTTGTTCGATTTGACGTGGAATGCCCCCTGGTGTGCGCCTAAATGTGGCTTGACTTTTGCCACAAGATGTGCTAATTGAAATTATACTAACGGTGGCTGGCAACAGCTGTAGATGCGGTCACGTGACGCCCTGGGGCGTCCTGGCGGTCAGTGCAGCGCGGTCGGCTGGCGGGCTCGCCACACTTGCGTTCGGAGCGGCCTGGCCGGCGGGCGAGCCGTACGAACGTGCGCCAAATCTTGGGCCGAGCGGCCTGTCGCTGTTGGGCCGAATATCCTTGGTCAGTTCGTTTCTTTTCTTCTCTTTGCATTGGCAGGGAATACGTCCTTGATCACGTGTTGATGTCTTGCACCACTTTCAGGTAATGTGGGAATTAATGCGTGCTAATTCTGAAAAAGGGCCACTGTGCACCGGGGGCAGAGGGGCATCAAAGGCCGGTTTCGTTTACCTTACATCTCATTTACGATTTCGTTGAATGGCGACGATAAATTATTTTATTTCATCGTGGTACATACCTACATAGGTACCTTAATAAAAGAGTTTTCATTGGTTCATCTAATTAATCATTCATCAAGGATAAATCAGAGACGGCTTGACGGCTTCTGAACTCAATGGCACTAACTATATTCACTAAGTTTAATTCACATATGCGGTTTTCAGCACGTTCTCCTGTAGTAACTAAGCTCAAACTTAACGTCTGAATAAGAGAGTACCACCAACAAGCCAAGCTATGGCAGATTCGTTGCTCAGAGCACAGTTCACGGTGCGTACGCTTTCATACAGGTAGCAGAAGGGCTACTGTTATAACTTCAAGGGCCGGTTCCGTTTTCATGCCCAGCTGATCCTGGGTTTCTCGCAAGACCCCTCCGTATACCGAGCTCTATGGATTCTCACATCTGAAGCTTCAAACGAGGGTGTGCGTAGGCATTCCATAGTGTGGCATGTTTTACGGCTCGTCATAAACAGCTGTGGAATATCTCTTGAGATAAAAATACTGGATCCTCTGTTGTCGATTCATTGTATAAAACTTGCAAGACAGAGGCACTTTCAAAAATAGACTGAAATATGAAAGCTCAACTTGGGGATGTGCACGGTTGGCTCAATAAACCATGCGTTGCATTCTTTCGATGTTTCTCCGTACATTGTCTCTGGGGATTCTCGGGTCTACACGGGGAAGAGGGAACTGAAGGGGCACAAATCCCGGCACCCCTCTGCTGATGAGAGGAGGGGACTCAAGGGGTGCAAATCCCTCCACTCCTCCCCTCGTCACGCCCTGCTCCTCTCCCCTCGACTTCAGAGGGGGAGCGGCGTCTCCGGGAGCCCACGGGACTCGGGAGGGAGCCGCTCAGAAGCGGGAGCCTTGTCAAAGGACTGGGGAGTCGGAGTGAGTGCGTCTCACAGACGTCTCACCGTCACCAGTGATGAGAACTGGAGAGAGGGGAGGGGCGGAGAGAGGAGGGGAGGGGGTCAGCTGACGGTGACGGTCACGGTATGTGCCGCCGGTCGGCGGACCGCCGGGGATGCGGTGACCCCGGCGACTCTGCCCTGACCCGGAAGCTGGGTCACTAGTCGCAGTCGGGAGTACTGGGATGGCACAGATCGACGCCGGAAGCCAGGAAGGGGTTCAGCAGTTCCAGACACTCAGAATATGCCGGGAAAACAGGAGACGCTTCCGGTGACCGATATAGGAATAGAACCGGCCGCAGTTCTTTCTGACTACCATAAGCGAATGATTCGCTGATTAAATCAGTATGATACGTTATCATTTGTATCATATAACAAGCTCCTCCTAGAATAAGAATTTGATAAGAAGGGGAAAATCTTAATTGGGTGCTTCCTTTCCTTGTCAACTACAATGTGATTTTCACTGCCGGCCCATCCGGAACACACGGAAGACTGCGGATAATGCTGCCACCTACGGTGTATGTATGTACTTCTAGCTATAGCGCCGGGTGTGTTACAGATGTCGCGTCATTACAGGCATATTCTCATTTTTACTTTCCACTCATTGCATGCTATTTTACAGCCCACACTCAAAAGCACTCACATTTGTGCACGGCATGCTGTAAAAGGTGACACCACAGCATACATCACGCCAGAAACTTGTTACGAGTCGGTTTGTATTCAGCTGCATCACGACAATTTCGCGTTCGTCTGTGTGGCATAGCACCGCTTCACAAAAGCTCAGATCACTCAGGTCAGATAGCACAGACACGGAGACTCAATAGAGACTCGAATCGGCGTAAGTCTAGGGGAAACAGAACACAAAGAAAGTGGCAGTTGAGTGGCAGGCAACTTTGTACGGTAGGACTGTACTCGTACTTCACCATTGGCCGCAACGCCGGCCAAACCACACTCCATCCGCCCAGCAGTCAACGGGGACGAGTTATCGACCAGAGTAGCTGCTCATATCTCCATTGAGTGCGCTGGCTCGGGTGGGTCTGTCGGCGCGGAGAACTGTTCAGCACTGATTCTGTGGCAGTGGGACGTGGCAGGGATACGTAACGAAGCGCAGTTCGTGGCAGGGGTACGTAGCGCAGACAGGATCGCTGCTTCTTGGTGGGTTAGGACGCGTTGCCGTCCGGTTCCAGCGCCAGTCGGAGGCAGCAGCGGATGGCAGTCGGTCGGTCGGTGGTATTACAGCCGGGTCCCCCACAACGGGACCACAGGCTGCTGAGTGACACGGAAACACAGGCACCCTACGAGACACACTGGCGTCCGTTAGCGCAGATGAGAGGGCGCCGCACGCTATTTGGCACTTCGAATGGCAGCAGCTCGGGCATTCAGTCCGCTCAGGGATGAACACATTGCTGATATTTACATAGTAATGGGTCGAGATGCTTCAGTACTGGATAGGCTGGAAGATGATATAATTCCAAACATGGACAACAGAGCGGATCTACACTAAACGTCCCCAGAAGTGGAGTAAGGCAGCATCAGGATACGTTGCAACGATATCATCTAAAAAGATTATCAAGATTATCTTAGATGATTCTCCATAAATACCTAAGATAGCAGGGATTAGCAAGCGGTCCTCGTTTTGTTGTAACATAAACACCACACAAACTTAAAAATATAAAGACACCTTTCCACTTGGCACCTCACAAAAAAAGCCGGTGACGCCAAAAGCGTCGCTGGTAAAAAGGTACCATTGCCAAAAAGGCAGTGTTTGCGCTTCAGCTACAAGCTGGAAAGAACCGCATCCGATGGCACTCGCACAAATGAATGATCCGCATTTAACAAATAAAATGTGTAACGAAACGCGTTTCACTACGGTAGACGGTCAAGCAGCGTACCACACTAAAAGCATAAGCATATAAAGTCAACAAAGTAGCCAGAGACAAAATGGCAGTCATGTGACGTCACCATATGACGTCACAATAGCAGCGTGAACGCAGTCCAAAGACCACACCAGCTGCCAACTAAACAGACGCACTAAATCATCGTCACCAACACAAAACGCCCATTGCAGTGAGATTCAAAATCAACATGCCCATGGGCTCAGTCAATGTGGCACTTGTGTATTGCCTTCATTTCGATGGCCGTTGAACCTAAGTTCTGTCCATAGCACTCCATTCACGGTGTGATATGGGCTATGGCACTCGAGTCCTCGGGTCTTCGTAGCTGTATATGACCGGGCTGGCCGATCAACAGGCCCCGACGGGCCATCCCACGCGAGCCGAGAGCGATGATTGACTAGCACCAGTCGATGTACGACGCATGATCCATGTGTGATGCATCCATGATACCAATACATGATGGGCTCCGCCGACGCAACCGACGGCCGGCCTGAAAACACAAACTGCCATCAAACAGCCGCACCGCTCGAATAAAGCCACAAAAGCCATTCAAATAAAGTTTAAAAATAGATAACATGCATCATAACACAACAAATTTATTCCAGTGGTTTTTTAACGACAAGGCACTCTACGAGATAAGAAACACAGCAAACACATATAAGTATTATGCCTCTTCTCAAAAGCACGTTTAAAGATAATTTGTAGACGGATTTAGATGACTCATTTTGAAGGTTATAGGTACAGCTTATAGGCCTATAGGCTTACAGGTAAAATACACGAATCGAAAGAAGTAAGCCGATAAAAAACCTCAAACATAGCTAGCAGCACGGCCTTACGGGAGATGACGTCGCTCAGGACGGCGCCAGCTCCAACCGAATGCCGTCTGGTGCAGAGCTGGCCTGACAGGTGCCGCAGTAGCCCCCGCACCGGCCTTGCACCGAAGTCCTCGACTGCCGACCGGGGCACAGGGGTCAGGGACACGGTGACTAAGGTCACTGACCAAACACACAGGGGTCAGATCGGATCAGGACACGATGACGAAGGTCGCTGGTCACCAGCCCATCTAGCTACGTCGGATACAGCGCCAATGATAATGCCGCGCTCAACCGCTCGTAACTAGTGCTACTACAATTACAACTACTAGCCGCATAAAATAAGTCTTTGCTCAGATATCTAATCAATTAAGCTTTATCCAATGATGATTCGTCATATTCAGCTGCGACATTGCGGCGCTAGCTAAGTTTGCGCTTGCCTCAAGCAACATTTCAGCCAAAACCGAGGCTGTCGTCCCCACCTGGTCGATGTTGACGTGCACGCTCGGCTCCCTGCCGACTCCGACCCAAGTAAGGCCGCTGGCCAGTCGGAACCCGGTGCCGGCCAGGTTAATGCTGAACCGGCCCTGGGGGCAGCCCGCTGTCGAGTAGCAGTCGCCCGCCTCGCCGAAATTCACCCGCCGGCCGCGCAGCTGCCGCGAGAACGTAAAGTCCCACGCTGTGGACAGATAGAAGGGGGAGGGTGCGCGTGTGTGTCATGAGCTGCGTGGAACTTGGGCATGGACTCAAGTTGAGCATTCAAGATAGGAAGTCTTTTGAGTTCCAGCGCATTTCAAGCTACGACAAATTTAGCCATACGCATACGCGTAGCCCTTACGTGACTTTTTCTTCGTCCAAACAGAGAGATCGGACACAAAAAGCAGTTTGTCCCCATTCATTCATTCATTCATTCATTCACACAAAGATATTCACTCACTCATTCATCCAGCTAATTTCAGTACACAAAAGACAGAAAAAGGAAGCACAATCTACAGAAAAGTCGACGACAGCCCAGCGACTTACGCATGATGTGCAGCGAAGTGGTGTTGAGCCTGACCCGTTTGAACACAGTCAGTCCGGCGTGTGAACTGCGCGAGCGAACGCAGAGGTCACAGCGCGCCGGACGCACCCGGCTGCCGTTGTAGGGACACGTGTGGGCCTGGATCAGACTGTCGAAAGGAGGAAGACGGGTTAGAGCATGTACTGTAGAAATGATGGCCACATATTAGAAGACGAAACTTATGAATGTTAAGTATATTTTAAATTTGTCGCCAACCTTTGAAGTAAGTGTGCGCAAGCATAACTCACAATTTTGGAATAAAGTTTGTACCATCACACCCATAATGCTTTACATTTATAAGCAAAACTCAATAATAAAAATGCTCCTAAACGAAAACAGCCAGAGCGTACCGTTGCAGCTCACCGTTTGGGGTCGATCTCGGCAAAGTTGGAGTGTCGGCGCCGGTGTTTCTCCACGGGCAGGGTGATAAACTCGACCGGCTCGGGCCCGTTCATATCGTGACAGTAGATGGTGACGTTTCGGCCTCCGATGAACAGCTGGTAGTTGCCGTCATTGGCGTGATGTGACCGTGACCGAACCTGGACACCGAGGAGCCGGAGGTCAGTGTCGGGACCGCAGTGGTAAGTAACTTTGGTCAATGTGTGACCTGTGCTGAACCATAAATGGTGAAATAAGAAAATAAAAGGTTGAACAACCACACACGTTCGATCTAGGGTGGCCTTCAGAGTGCAGGCAGAAAATCATATCCAAACGTTTTGAGCAATCTACGCTTCGCTCCTTACAAGTTACAGCCTAACATTATTTGCAAAAGCCGCAAAAGCACTAAGGCATATCGAATAAATAACCCTTCAAACACACAACAACCCGAAACCGACTGCCGGCCACCAATAACATCATTAAACATCAACAGTCTCCCCACAAAGGCCTATGCATTTGCTGGAACAGCGTCCCTCGTCCCCCACCTCAGCACAGCTGGTGGGGCCGCAGGGCCTCCGGTTGCAGCGGCGCCGACGGGTGGGCCGTTTGGTGCGGGCGCACTTTCTCCGGTGTACAAGCTTCCCAGAAAGGTCGACACAGCGCACCTTACGATAGCGGAACCCATCCGGGCCGCAGGTTCTCGAGCACTGCCGGATGAGAAGACGAAAAGAGGTGTTGGTACAGGGTGACATCACAGGGAGAAGAGTCGGGCATTGTGGGAAGGAAGTGGTTTAACACAGCTAAATTAGACATGTTAGCGAGCTATCAAACATTAATATGATCAAACAGGTTAGCAGATAAAAGAGTCGAAGACGTGTTAGCTATAACACAAAAGAAAATGCCAAAATAATCGATGAACACTGCAAACCTGCGTTCAATCATATATACAGATTTTTTTGTTTTGTTTTGTTGGGTTAGGCCCTTTCGGTCGACAAGACCATTGCAGAGCCGGAAGGATGATAGGAATTAGGGGGAGACATTGGTCTGGGCAGGCACCCTAGTGAGTCGCCGGGGCTGAGCCCGTCCAGAGGACAGGCCACCCAGCCCCCAGGCACTCACTGCACCCGGCTACGGGGTGCGCTCCCTCGGGAGCAGCGGTGCAGCTCCAAGGGAGCAGCCCGCATGAGATAAAGTTGCCTGCCCAGCCCAGAAGGGGGTTGTGGCGTGGTGGAAACAGGATTTCAGTATCCTGAGGATAGAAGCACTGACAGGTATATACAGAGCCGCTTTTATCGTAGAGTCTCGCTCATTTTCTCTCTCTCTAGGCCGTGCTGTACCTTGGTCCAGTGCTCGGGGCGCCAGCGGAACTGGTGGTGGCAGGCGCGGTAACAGCGGCGGCTGGCCGGCGGCCGCTCGCCCTGTGGACAGGCGGAGTCGGGCGCCGCCGGACCGTCCGCAGCCCCGGCCCGGCGACAGGTCACCGGGCGGTGCTGAACACCGGCGCCGCACGACCTGGAACACTGGCGCCGCCCGGCGGCAGACGACCACACTGTTAGTAAGCCGCGGCCGAACAGGTGGCGTTAGTGCTAACGGGCATCGTGAGATGTGGTAGTGAGGGAGGTCAGCATTTCTCACACACGTTTGCTATTGTATGAGCTCAGTTAATTAAAAAGATCACATCATGGGTTATGTTTAGCTATTATCAGCGAGGCCTGAGCTACCGAACTCAATCAAACGGGAGAGAGGTGAGCAATCATTTGCATATGAAAGAGCAGATGAAAATGACCAAAGCTGCAATATCACACCAGCAAATTAGCCTCATATTAATTCAAACCTTAAAAACACGGATTAAGAAACACTGGCAAGCTTCTCTCTCCGCAGGACTAATCCAACCTCAAGCTTTATCACCCATTCTGTTCCAGATAAGCGATCATCCTCAGAGGCAGCCGATGAGGTCAGACCCAATAGGATTACACCGTAATGGGGTGATCGGATGTTCGGTTGGGTAGCCTCGGCCTGTCCTAACGGGGCTGAGTCCAACGCAAACAGTTCTGCCCTTTCCTATTAGCGAGTGTAGGCAAATTAGTTTAGGACGAACAACTTACAACAGCTACAACACGTCCCGTGTAGGGTGGTCCCTATGACCCTAAGGTTGACATTGACGCTCACATTACAGATAATATCTGCTTCACTGTTATTTCATTTCGGCTGTTAGGTGTATGAGATATGTAAAGGTTAGGTATGTGTAAAGTGAACTGCAATTCGTGTCCGTTTTGCTCACCAGCCCGCAGAGGGCTCGGTCATCGGTCACCGGGATGTCCACTGTCCATATTACAAGAAGTCATGTTTTAAATCGGGATAGCATTAAACACCGTTTAGCATGTTGCCTTGATTCGACCCAAGAGGGATGAAGTCACACAGCATGCGTAACTTTCTTCTGGCCTTGGGAATTGTAATGCTTTGATAATTGTTACTCATTAACATTAACGATTATTTGGCAGATAGATGTGATTGAGTAGATTCTTCGTGACGCATAAAGTGAGTATGGACTGAGTGTGCACAGGCATACATACACCAAACACCAGACATGGTCACTGCATTGAAAATATGTGCGCCCTTCAGGTTATAAAGCATCATGCACCCATCAGCAGCAAATCAGCATGCAGCATTACAACACAGCCGTCAGCCACACACAGCCTGACCGTAGCCACGCAAAGCGACAGGGCATGCTGAAAACAACACTACGTTCGACCATCCCGCCTCTGCCGGCCAGCACAGGCCTCTATCCTCCCCCGTCCTCTACCTTGCCCCAGCCGGCGGCCACCCAGGAGTGCGAGCAGCGTCTGACGCGGCAGCGACGTTTGTGGCGCGGCCGCCTGCCGGCGCACAGTCCGCGCGGCACGGGCGCACCACTTGCACGCGCCACGCACACCACAGCGCGCGTGCGCACGCCGACACCGCAGCTGGCCGAACACTGCGGACAGCGGGAGCGCGCGCCGCGCCGGCGCCGCCGCTCAAACCGGCGCGCAGAAAACGCGCCAACAGAGCGCGCACCGCCAGAGAGCAAATGGCAAGACGGTTCTCCGAAAAAGAGCGCTAGTTTGGGAATGAGAATGCTTCATTAAAGAAGTGCATTTCTTTTGAATTCATCCGGAATAGTTGATTACCGGAAAGGATGAAAAGAAACAGGATGTCCTTGCCATTTGATCTCCTTGACTCATTCCTTTAAATGCACGATGCCTAAAACCCTCGTGCATTTTACACAAAGCGAATTCCCAAAGGCAAGCGCACACATAAAAGCAAATCAGATGAACTGATTAGCACATTGCTCCCTCGAAACAAACACAAACCGAGACAAAAACAGCGGAAAGCTCACCATTCAGAAAAGCAAGAGTAAGGCAAGCTACTCAAACAAAAGTAGATTACCTTTCATAAGAAGAACCCATTAAGCATACAAAACATAAAATGCACATAAATAGCACGAAACGTATAGCTTGTCGTTTACTCGCAAGCACCACCATACCCGACACATCAGAGTTATTAAAAATCAATACAGACGGTTAATCCCTACCCTCGCCTACGCCCTACTATGGACGTCAAACCCCTTGAGACCCCACTTTTTTGCGATAATTTTTAAATGCGTCAATTCTCGTTGACAATATTCTGGCAATGTGTGTTTCAGAACCTGCCGAAACTTTTATTACTAAGGTATTTTGACGCCAAACGATTATGAAAGGTACTTCTCATTCACTCGTAATGTTAAATTTCACGGAACGAATCTGCTGTTTGGGTAGAGGCTACGCGTTCATGGGGCGGAGCCACGTAATGACGTCAGCGCTAAGCTCCGCCCTACCCCTCCGGCGCTCCTTGCCCGGCGACCGGTCACTCGCGTCTCTCGCTCCATTCAGGCTTGATGGTGGGCGGTAGCTGGTAGCGATAGCGGGCGCTGGTAGATGGCATTTAGAGCAGATGGCGCTGGTGGTGGGGCTCGAGTGTGGCCGAGCGCAAGCCTCTGCCCGGGCCTGAATTGACCTTAGCATTACGAGTGAATGAGAAGTACCTTCCATAATCGTTTGGCGTCAAAATACCTTAGTAATAAAAGTTTCGGCAGGTTCTGAAACATACAATGCCAGAATATTGTCAACGAAAGTTGACGCATTTAAAAATTATCGCAAAAAAGTGGGGTCTCAAGGGGTTTGACGTTCATAGTAGATACCAGAATCCTGAGATACGACTGGTTGTTAGTCACGACATTCATTCACCTTACACCTTACACACATTCGTTCTTCCCCGTATCTTCACGTACCCAAACACAAGACACATCTCAGTTAGCCACTACCCCCCGTCGTCATTCGTTCAGCCGCCAAGCACCGCCCCATGCACCTCCCCGGATCCCTACCTTGGACCAGGCAGCCACCTCCCACTTGAAGGGCTGTCCGACGGGCCTGCGTTCGCTGCGCAGCGCCGCCGCCACGGGCAGTGGCTCGGTGGGACAGGCCGGCTGGTGGCATGGTTCCGTCTCCTCCGGCCGCTCGGCCGGCGGGCAGTGGTGGTCGGCCTGACTGCCGGCCTCGGACTGACACTGCACCCGCCGCCGGCGAGTGCCCGAGCCGCAGCTGACACTGCACTGTGGGCAGAGCGCAGGGGGGAGGGGGGAGGGTAGAGTGGTAGGCATTGTCTGGGTTAGGAGACACATTTAGCATGGGAAATAGAGGTAAAACAGCAATGCTTCACGAGCCAACATGATATACCGGGTGGCGCAAAAAAAAACGTTCCGAACTTTGGAGGCCTATATCTCAAATTCGAGCGCAAATAACGAGCCAAAATTTTCATCAAGTTTGCGTCACTTCTTTGCGCATTGGTATGCCAAATTATAACACTGTACCATCATTTTCAAGCCAGCAATCTTATGTTGAACTAAGTAAGACGTTTTTGCTTTTTTTGCCGTTGTTGAACGGAAGTAATGATTGGCTTAGACGTACCATGTTACAAAAATACAAAAAATAGAACAACGTGAAAGATACCAGCGTGTGTGTTGCTATTTTAGATATTTTTGTCACACTTGTGTGCCAAATATTCAAATACTAAGCCAAAGTTGTGTTAATGGATGCCATTCGTTTCAACACAAGTCCTGTTTCGAGGCGAAGCCGAGTGGCACGGTGCATGGGTTACTGCTGATCGCCCTCCCTTCAAGAAGATCAAATAGTAAATCGACCGAATAAGGAAAAAAGCTAGAGGGAATGTGTTACCCTGAGGCCTGAGCCACCAATGAGACTAGATGCCAGTAGCAGTTATGGCTGTAGGCCGTGGTGCCGAGATGGAAGTGGCCCGTTCACTCACATTTTTGGTAAACATGAGCAAAAAAGTGATTTTTACATGGCATGCTAGAAACACGAACCATTTAAAAAGTAACTGACCGAATAACATGAAAATCATACCATTCACTGAAAATATATGCCACATTGACTATTGGAAGTTTCAATGTTGTATCTTTATAACTTTCTGAGAAATATTGATTTAAAATTGGGAACGTTTTTTCTGGGCCACCCGGTACATACTTAGGAGGATAGACTTAGGTATATGGAATAAGAGATCCTTAGAATAGTTTTGCATCGGCAGTAAGCGCCCACAATCACATTGCCCCAACGCTTTCGGTTTGTGTCGCTAAATGACGTTTGAGTAAACGCCTTAAGTCAGAATGCACCGCACAGTTTTTAGTACCCTCCATAGAAGACGCTAGCTGTAGGCGCCTGAAGTTAGACTGTGCCGCACAGTTGAGCTTCATGACCCTAGATGGCTCTAGCTGTCGGCGCCTGAAGTTAGACTACACCGCACAGTTCCTAGTCTCATCCATAGATGGCGCTGGTTATCGGCGCTTGAAGTTAGACTGTACCGCATAGCTCCTATTCCTCTCCATAGATGGCACTAGCTGTCGGCGCCTGAAGTTAGACTGTACCGCATAGCTCATATCCCTATCTATAGATGGCACTAGCTGTCGGCACCTGAAGTTACTGTACCGGACCGCCGACGGCGTAACGTGTAAACGCCACAAGCGGAACGGAAATATCAATGAATCAATTCATAAAATTCTACTAAATTATTATTCAATGTGATTCCTATTAGCACAAGCAGAAAATTATTTACAACGTTCGACGCTAAGTGCGATGAGGTATGAGGGCATTTGTCATTGAGATGAAATTAGTGAAATCAAATAAGCAGGACGAAAGTTAACAAAGTACGTGATAAAGTATGAGGCACTGTAATTAAGTAGCCCGTCCACCTACCTGTCCCCAGTGGCCGGCGTGCCAGCCGGGACAGGGCTGTTCGTTCAGAGGTCGACAAAATTCATGGAGTTTCTCCGACTACCTGCCAATTTTCTCCAGGCTTTTCTTCGCGATTGTGAGAAACGATGAATTTGGATACCTATCCACGCAACCCAAAACACTGGTATACGGCAGTCATAAGCTCTTGTTACACTGCCAAATTTTGGTACACGAATGTGCACGAATGTGCAGGTCATCCTATGTCGCGGACCGATTCGGGATCTTTCTTCCCCGGTCTTGGCATTTCGCAGACCATTCGGTGTCCACCGCGCGACTTTTACGGCTCGTCACGACCGCCACAAATTTTTCATGAAAAATGAAAATTTCGTGGCCGTTCTCCGAACTTGTGATAAACGAATATAATCACCAAACAGTCGCCGAGTCGGCGCCGACATATCGCTGCGTGCGCCGACTTGTTGCCAAGGTATCGCCGACTATTCGCCACAGATGAGTGCCAATGATGTAAAATACAATACAATATAATACAATACAATACGCGCACGCAGTCCTCTGCCGACTGAAACCCGGGTGTGTTTTGCTCCTGCGAGTCCCCCCCCCCCCCAACCCCTACCTTCCCCGCGGCCAGCGCCGGCCTCCTGCCCTCCTGCCCCGCGTCTCATCTCCCCTTTTTCCTAGTCCCCCTACCCACTCCCTCCCTCCCTCACCGCGCGTCGCTGTCGGGCCCTTAGCAGGGGTCGGCAACCTACGGCCCGCGGGCCGGATCCGGCCCGCGGCTGGCATCAGTAACTAACATTGTGTTCCGGTCCGTTGCTCCTGCGCGTGATTGTAACAAATTGTGACCATGCTCCGGCCCGCCGGTTGCTTCCAAATCACATATAAGGCGCCCATCCAAAAAAGGTTGCCGACCCCTGCCTTAGCGTCTTTGCCGCTAAGGTGGCTATTTCCCGTTATTGAGACTTTTCCTTGTATTTGAAGAAATTCCTTCAGATTCGCAATAAACATCGCAAGAATTAGCGACCATTATTGATAAATCTCAACTATTTTTCTCTTGTCTCAAGAGTTTGGCAGCTGAAGAAAACAAAGCGGTCGACAAAAACACCACTTTCTCCGACTGCCAATAAGAGCGATATTTGGTTATGAATTGGTAGGGAAACCGACCTAATAGGCACAGAGTTGCTTCTGACCGGATCAGACCAGCTCTGACTAGGGAGAAAGTGGAGAAATGGTAGAAAACTGTCATCACTAATTTGTTACTCGTGCTGTTGTTAGTCGATGACATAGGTGTATGGATGTAACAATGCTGGCTTTGCTAATCTTAGAATTTCTTCCAAGTTCCATGATATTTTCTTCTTTATGTGATTTTCGCTCGCTTATTTTTCTCTGACTAGGGTCAGATGGTCAGAGATTTTATCGACCTCTGTGTTCGTTACACGCCTCGGTCCGGTTGGGCCGGCCCCGGGAGTCACACAGTGCGCCCGTCTTGGAGCTGCTATCCAGACAGAGTACCGTCCGCCTCCGGACACCGCCGCCACAGCTGCGGGAGCACTGTAACACGGCGCGGATAGAGATACAGTCAGACACTGTACCGCAGCACAGAGATACAGTCCGATACTGCACGGGCACCGCCGCTCACAATGACCGTAGTTCATACAATACAACTCTTAGTCCTTCTGGGAATGAAGTAGAAATGTAGCCTTTTACTAACCGGACGCATGCACACACCTACACTAGCCGCATCGCTACTGACCAAACCAAGCTTCTTAGATATTTTGTGAAGGATGAAGCTAAACTCTTATAATACAATGCTCGGATTATCATCCCCCCCCGGTAATTACCGGACCCCAGGCGCCACGGATCCACTGTCTCTTCTGCGGCTCGTCGGACGGACACCGCGCGTGACTTCGACACGACTGCTGCGGGACCGGCTTGGAGCCCGGGTCACACTGGTCCGACGGCAGGGGAGCAATGGCGTTCGGAGAGATACAGGTGACCTCGCGGCGCTGGATGCCCTGTAGATGAGAGTCACGCTTTGTAAATAAAATTCGATTTGTTATTTCTCAGTCAGAAGAACGGTACGGCTTTCAAGTTAAAGATGATCGTGAAGGCAAGAGCAGGGAACATAAAAAATACTTATACTGACAGACTGCTATTTAACAGCAGGTAGAATAGCGAGTCACGGCAAGTATAAGTTTATGCTAATTGAAGTTTAGCTCATAAGAGAAACAACTTTTCAGTTGCTAAAAAGTCGAAATAAACAAAAATCGTTTTCGGTTTTCAGCGAAATATCCTGTTCCGAGCTAACATAACATAACATCACCGTCTATTTACTAGCGCAAACAGCTCGGACATATACAAAATGTACATCCACCATTCAACAGCCCCACATTTCCCACCGACCTTTCCACAGGAGGACGAGCAGCGCGTCCACTCGGACGTTTTCCACTCCCCACAGCGTGAGCCGCGGCAGGACTGGGAGCTGGCCGGCTCCCTCTGTCGGCGGCACGCCCGTCGGTGCAGCCGCCTCTTGGAGCGGCGGTCCACGCAGGTGACAGAGCGGGTCTGGAGGCCGTCACCGCACGACCGCGAACACTGCCGACAGAGGGGGAGATGGAGAAAACTGTCACCGCACGACGGCGAACACTGCCGACAGGGGGAGGTAGAGAAAACTGTCACCGCACGATCGCGAACACTGACGACAGGGGGGAGGCAGAGAAAACTGTCACCGCACGACCGCGAACACTGCCGACAGGGGGAGATAGAGAAAACTGTCACCGCACGACCGCGAGCACTGCCGACAGGGGGAGGTGGAGAAAACTGTCACCGCACGACGGCGAACACTGCCGACAGGGGGAGGTAGAGAAAACTGTCACCGCACGACCGCGAACACTGCCCACAGGGGGAGGTAGTGAAAACTGTCACTGCACGATCGCGAACACTGACGACAGGGGGGAGGCAGAGAAAACTGTCACCGCACGACCGCGAACACTGCCGACAGGGGGGATATAGAGAAAACTGTCACCGCACGACGGCGAACACTGCCGACAGGGGGAGGTAGAGAAAACTGTCACCGCACGACCGCGAACACTGCCCACAGGGGGAGGTAGTGAAAACTGTCACTGCACGATCGCGAACACTGACGACAGGGGGAGGCAGAGAAAACTGTCACCGCACGACCGCGAACACTGCCGACAGGGGGAGATAGAGAAAACTGTCACCGCACGACCGCGAGCACTGCCGACAGGGGGAGGTGGAGAAAACTGTCACCGCACGACGGCGAACACTGCCGACAGGGGGAGGCAGAGAAAACTGTCACCGCACGACCGCGAACACTGCCCACAGGGGAGAAGGTAGAGAAAACTGTCACCGCACGATCGCGAACACTGACGACAGGGGGGAGGCAGAGAAAACTGTCATCGCACGACCGCGAACACTGCCGACAGGGGTGATGTAGAGAAAACTATCACCGCACGACGGCGAACACTGCCGACAGGGGGAGGTAGAGAAAACTGTCACCGCACGACCGCGAACACTGCCCAAAGGGGAGGCAGAGAAAACTGTCACCGCACGACCGCGAACACTGCCCACAGGGGGAGATAGTGAAAACTGTCACTGCACGATCGCGAACACTGACGACAGGGGGAGGCAGAGAAAACTGTCACCGCACGACCGCGAACACTACCGACAGGGGGAGATAGAGAAAACTGTCACCGCACGACCGCGAGCACTGCCGACAGGGGGAGGTGGAGAAAACTGTCACCGCACGACGGCGAACACTGCCGACAGGGGGAGGTAGAGAAAACTGTCACCGCACGACCGCGAACACTGCCCACAGGGGAGAAGGTAGAGAAAACTGTCACCGCACGATCGCGAACACTGACGCCAGGGGGGAGGCAGAGAAAACTGTCACCGCACGACCGCGAACACTGCCGACAGGGGGAGATAGAGAAAACTGTCACCGCACGACCGCGAACACTGCCAAAAGGGGAGAAGGTGGAGAAAACTGTCACCGCACGACCGCGAACACTGCCGACAGGGGGGAGATGGAGAAAACTGTCACCGCACGACTGGGAACACTGCCAACACTGCGTTTTTGGCACACTTGTTCGTGCATCTTTTCCGCACATGTTGTAAAAATTTCAGACCCAGGTCGCCTTAGGTCAGGTCACCAGGAGAGATAAAGAGAAAACTGTCAGCGTGGGGCCCGGTCGGGAAACGATCAATGCTTCAGTGCTTAGTGCATGCTATGTTGACCGGCTCGTTGAGGTTCTATCAAAAACAAATCGGGTGATACCAAGCGGCGCAACCAACTTTGATTTGGTATATCATGGTGGTTATTTCGTAGTTACCCAGATACAAAGACATTGTCACAGGAAGCTTATCTAAGTTCTTCCTTAATTGATGTGGGAAACGACAGAATATGCCGTGCGTTCGTGTCATTCCGCCACCATTCAGCCGCCCTCACCTTGGACCACTGGCCCGTTAGCCAGAGCCTGCGCCGGCGGCGGCGGCGGCGGCGGCGGCGGCTCTTGGACCTCAGCCGGGGCCGCGGGGACGGGGGCAGCTCGGTCGTCACGGGCTCTGTCGGTGTCGCTGGTATTGTCGGACAGGGCGGTCTCATGCAGCGTCTGCTGAGCGCCGGCCGGGACTCCCCACACTCGCTGTCGTTCAGTGAGACGTTCTCGGACGACATACACGTCACCTGACGGACCATGATGCCGGCACCGCAGCTCACAGAACACTGGCGGCAGAAGGCGACAGGCGATATCAATTAAGTTGTCACATAAAGTGAGCGGAATGCAACAGATGCGTTGTAAAACTAAAACCTAGATATTCTTAGTCCAATAAGTACAGCCCACCGCTAAAGTAATGTGCGGTTTTACCAATCTCAACGGATGGTTTTGACTGGCGATTTTTTTAAAGCGGAGTGATCGGAAAATAAGACGTCAATAGATAAAGTTGCAGCTGCAAGGGTAACGATACAGGTTAGCTACATTCAAAGTTCCATCGTGGTCTGGCGAATCATTCCTAAGCTTCAGAATCAGAACATACCCAGGACTGAAACCACACATTACTTATGCTGTGGACTGTACCTAAAAATCAAATGATACGACACTTCCAAATTTTATGACAGTAGACTATTGATCACACAATTGCAAGTCACTCACTACTCAGTGAGCCTGGAACCCTATAAAAATAGCACAACCAAAACAATCCTATCCGAAACCATCTCACTGAATCCTACCTCTCCCCAGTCGCCTTTGCTCCACTCCGGACACGGCTTGCTGTGGCATTTCTCCTCCTTGGACGGCATCTGTGTGAGGTCGCAGTGCGACTCAGGTACGGCCTTGTCCTGTTGGCTACACCACACGGGCCGCTGTCGCCGCCCCTCGCCGCACGTACTAGAACACTGCAGCAGGGGGAGGGGCGGAGGTTAGTCCGTTACGGTAGAGCTGCACGAGACAGCTGATCAAAATGTTGACTTGGTTTGGTTAATGTGAGCTAGTCTTTTGAGTAGGTCAGCGCCGGAAATATTATCAACGGCAAAATATAAACACCATTGATACCCGCGATTTTTGGGCTGGTTTAGCTTTTGGATTGCACGGCCGCATCTGCAATAGCTGCATAGCTCAACGCAACTTACATCTTTTGTTTCAGCCGTTCTTGGGAATATCTGCACATCAGTCTACTATCTTCAATAGCTCACGAATTCCCGGGCTCGGTGTCACCTATGCCACACCACAGACTTTGACGCCCGTCTCTCACCTCTGCCCAGTTTCCAGTCCGCCACTGGGGACACGGCTGGGTGTTACACGACTGCTGCACGTGCGGGTTGCTCTGGTTACAGAACCGGGCGCCCACCTCCTGGCCGTCCCTGCCGGTGCACTTGGCTGTTCGCTCCTGCGTGCCGCCTCCGCAAGGCAACGAGCACTGAAACGGATATGGATGGGTCACGGTCAACTGATCTGGGTTTCTGCGATGAAGTCTACGATTGTGTTGCAAATGGATAACAAAAATGTACTTTTTACACGCACATGCGAAGCGTAGTCCGGTGACCGAAATCGGATGAATTATGTGCAATGTGAAACATGGCAAAATTAACGCAACCCACAGTCCGATTACTTTGTCGTGTACCGCAATATGACATAGGCCACTTTCCCCATATCACCTCCCCAACCCGTCTATCTCACACCACCTTCCTTTCCGCCACAGCATCAACACCAGCACCGACCTGCGACCAGTCTCCGAAGGCCCAGCGCACGTGCAGGCACGGCCCGCGGCAGGACTCGGTGTGGGGCGGTCGGTCGGACAGGTGGCCGCAGTGGTCGTCCGCCACCGGTCGGACGCCCAGCCGCACGTGGCGGAACTTCTGGAAACAGCGGACGGCGTTCTTGCGCACCCCGTCGCCGCACTCAGCCGAGCACTCGGACTGGTGGGTGATACCCCATCTGAGAGGGGGGGGGGAGTCAGATGGGTGGTCTCTGTCACCGGAGGCGTAAATAGACAGGGTATAAAAGTTCAAAAGTACACTGGTTTCAACGTCAGCATTATGCAGCCCACTACAACTTAGGACTACGCCAAGACTATGCATTCTATAGACAGTCCAAAAATAAGAATAGGTATTGGGCCGAAGCATTCAAAACTCCCTCGAGTCTCGCCACGACAGCACCTCTCAGAGGCCTCCCGTCTATGTCTCACTTGAGTTGACATTCGGTGTTGCAGCGTCGGTCCTGGCTGGCCGGCCGGGTCCTGACCGGACACCGCTCCTCGGACACCTGAGCCAGGTCGGAGCTGCGCACACACTCGGGGACCAGGTACTGGGAGCCTGGCGGCGGGCCAGACCGGGATGGATCAGTGACGATCGGTACACAGCACATTGGCGTGAGCACCAACAATAACTGATGCCTATTGGCATAACTGATATACAATAACTATAACTGATATACAATAACTGTTACCAGCTATTGGCATCAAATAACATGAGAGTATTTAGATGTGCAGTGCGCCTGCAATCTGCATCATAATTGCATTGTTTGTATGGTGTTGTGACATCGAAAATGTACGAAATCGCTAGCAAATGGCAGCAGTTCCTAGCTCAACTGACTAATACCACCAGCAGATGGCGCCATAGCAAGCGTCTGAGGTCTGAAGCCGGTCTGCAGGTCCCCTATAGCTCAGATGTTAAGGTCAGCGTAAAACCACAGTTTTCCCTTTGTAAGACCTGTCACTTGTCACTTGAAAATATCTGTCACTTGTCAGCCTCTACGCCCACTTGCGCACTATCTCACCCAGTGTCCCAAAATTGTGTTTTGGCTTGGGTGCCAGAGGGAAAATTCCTCTCCAAAAAGGGGGATAAGAGTGGAAAACTCCCCAGTCAGATAAGGCCCAAAAAGGGTTGAAAAGAGATCAATGGCACGAGGTAAAATGTAATATGTAAAATGACCCATGCCAATGCTTATTCTCAGTAAGGCTGGGAGTGGAGAATTGCTCTTAGATATAAGACATGAGAGTGCAAAATGATTTTTATTTGGATGTCGTTTCCCACCCAAATATAAATATTTTGGGACACTGATCTCACCTTGACAGATTCGGTCACATTCGCTCCAGTTCTCGGTCATTTGCCAGCGGTACGTGTCGGAAGTCGGTTGGAGCGAGACCACGTATTCGTAATCGATGTTAGGAGGGTGCAGGCTCCCCACGGATAACACCTGAAAATAGCGCCAAGGGTATTAACAAAAATAACATTCTGAAACGACAGTCTACAGTAAGGAGTAAGCAACAACAAAACAAAAAAGGCAAACAGCTAAAGAAGATATTGATAGTGAGAATGAGTGATCGATTGGATCATCCTGCACGTCATTTGTTATGGTAACGCTTTTTTAAACTGAGATGCAGCCTGTATCAAGTGCTAGACCAGTCCATTGTTAAAATTGGAAGGTAAAACGAGCATCTGGAGGACTTAGTGCGAGCACGGTACCTCCATGTAGTTCCCATCGGAGACAGTTCTTGTTGCATGCGACGATAGATGCTCCCGATATGCTAAACCGAGCAGGAGAGGTGGAGTTTCTGGAGTTTCCGTCTACCGCACCTCAGTGCAGCCTCACAAGCACGCACATGCAGGCAGTAATGCTAATGGGAAACGGGGGCTCTGTTAATATTTAGTCGATTATTGACAAGAAATGGCTTCATCGAATAAGAAGTTAAGTTAGTATTATTTTGTTTGTTTTATTGGGTTAGGCCCTTTCGGTCCAGTAAGACCATTTCAGAGCCGGGAGGATGATAGGATATAGGGGGAGACATTGGTCTGGGCAGGCACCCTAGTGAGTCGCCGGGGCTGAGCCCGTCCAGAGGACAGGCCACCCAGCCCCAAGGCACTCACTGCACCCGGCTACGGAGTGCGCTCCCTCAGGAGCAGCGGTGCCGCTCCAAGGGAGCAGCCCGCATGAGATAAAGTTGCCTGTCCAGCCCGGAGGGGGGTTGCGGCGTGGAGGAGAAGGATTTCAGTATCCTGAGGATAGAAGCATGGAACGGTGAGTTAAGTTAGTAGATCGAAACACGTTCTTGAAGATGTCAGTCGACACTCCTCAGCCTCCATCATTTACAATGTTAACCATTAGTTGCTCGTCATACAGGGGATTTAATAAAAGCCTGGTTGGGTGCTGTGAGCTGTCATCGTGGTAAGCAAGTAGCACACCGTCACCTCGCATGCGGGAAGAGTAAGTGTGCTTTCACTGCGATCATAGTAATGCTGCATTCGCGATCAGTTAATAGGATTTTTACCATGCTGTACCATTATGTAAATCTTCTTTCGGAAACGCCCAGTGGTAATGCTGCATGCAGTGCATAAAGCCTGATGCGGGTTTTCTCACGTATATTTCCAGGTTCTCCTCCAGCCGTTTGGTGCAGTTGATTTTCTCCGTGACAGAGTCCGAGCCAGAGTACTCCACCAGCGCGCCGCCGAACTGGAACACCTTCTGGAACATGCTGACCACGAAGTTGCCGTTCAGGATGTACAGGCCGCTGGACGGAGACCGCAGCGCTGTCGAACGGGCCAGTCGTTAGTCTGGGCATCTCAGACATCATGGTCGTAAATAGCACACAGACCCCATGGTCGTAAACAGCACATAAACCATTTGTCTAAGGGATGCACGGTTGGGAAGGCATGAGCTCAGTAGAACGTTACAGTCCGGCCCAGCCGGTGAGGGCCGGGTCGCTCATGTTAAGATTTTAAGACTTTTCCGTTATATTGAACAGCCTCGAATCGTGCATCCTCCTCGCCAAAAATAATCTTATTTCACCTCAATTTCTCATTTCTCATTTTCTTTCTCATCTCAAAATATTTCATGCAACATGCTATTCTTGTCAATCATCACTTGTCCCAACAAAGCAAGCATCCCGTTAAAGCCATAAGGTCTTAGGATCTGCCTGACGACCGGTCGGGCACTCAGTACATGAATGGATGAGTCAGTGGTGGCTCTGATCCGCTGCCACCCGAGATCCGACCTCGTACCCTGGCCGTACTCGACACCGGCCCAATAGTACGGGCTCCATTTGATCCGGCCGGGGTCTGAGTGATACCGTTCACCCACACAATGGGTCGCCCGGTCTCTGAGTCAGCACCGCGGCACAGCCACCGGACGCCGGCTGTTACCGGGGCTCGGGGCCGCTTCAGGGAACGGGCCGCTTCGGTGGCTCAGAGGTGACGGAGGTAGGGAGGACATTTTGGGGACTGGAAAGTGGAAAGGTAATAGATCGAGGAGATACGGCATCATATATGCGAGATTCGAACTACACTTTGGGCATTCACCTGTATCCGGAAACAAGCGCTGCTGATAGCCCCGAGATTTTTCCAGAAGATCCCTCTATCGGGAAAGCATCTTGTTTAGAATTCAAGTTCACGTGAACAGAATTGATTGTTCCTATAGGTGGATAAAGAAGCTCACAGCGATAAGCAATGTGTGAAAGGCAGAATTAATAAAACATCACGGTGTTATCCTACATAATTAATCAGATTGACTGTGAAGCTCGTTTGCCCGTATACGCTCTAGTCAGCCTGCAACCGTTGCCTTACCGAGGTAGTTGTCATCCTTGCTGGTGTGATCGTGACTGCTCTGCTCCACCACCAAACGGGTGGCGCCGGCGGGGATCGTGGCCACCAAATTGTAGCCGTACACCACGTGCCGGGAGGAGCTGTCGAACTGCTGTCGTACCACTCGGCAGGTCGAGTTGTCGCCGCCACACACACCGCACAGGTCTGCGGACGGGGAGGGGAGCTACGGTCAGTATGGGACAGCGGGACGATACAGGATTGTATACAATCCTGTACTCCCGGACTGGCCTCTGAGTTATAACTCAGAGGCCAGTCCGGGAGTACACTGACTTGGTCTTAGGGAGTAGCGGTCAGTCAAGTCACCTGAGAGCGAGTTAAAATACGGAGGCAACAACGATGATCTAGACACTGGGCATTGAACAATAAGGAGTGCCATAGCGCCCCAACAAATGTCAAGTCATTGACCCATACCTACCATAATACCTCGCAAACATATTCAAGGAAGTATACGGCAACATAGCCAGGAGAAGCACATGTTCTAGATGCAAGGGTATATTTGCCGAATAAAGTCGATGTATCTCCATAAATGTCAACCGATGGCAGATCGCGCGTCCACAAGAGGCGAACTTCTGATCGGCCTTTAAGAGCTGCTGTAGTCAGATGGATCGATAGAATAGTGGGGTGGCCAAATAGACCGGCAAATACGGGTTTATTTCACTTTAGCCAGACGTTGATTGACAGATCAGCTACATCCACCGAACTGAGTTTGTCATTGTCTTATTAATGCCAATGCCGAATGTTCGCATTTAGCGATATGCTAGTATGGTATTGGAAGACGTAAAGCAGATTTGACGTATACACCCGATGACGCAAAAGGATTGCCGCACTGTATCTTCCAATGCCCCGTGGATTGAAACGCTGAAGGTCTGCCAATAACAACCAGCACGTGACATGACACAAGGCTGACGTCACGGGCTGTCACACGCAAACATTTACCCCAAACCAAACCCCGGCCTCGCAACAGTCAACACCCCCAACCCTAACACTGATCACGTGACCCGCCAAACTGACCAGAGCGGACGCTGGAGGCGAGCACGTGATCACATCCGGCCGGCATGCAGACTCCATTGACGCACATGTCGTCTGTGTCGGGAGTACACGGTGTGCCGTCTTCCACGCGCTCTTTGAGGAGGTAGTAGGCACTGGAGTCGGACACCCGACAGAACAGCTTACAGCGGTCCTGAGATTTAACTGTCGGAACAGGAGGGAAGTAAAGCGAGTCATGTTCTGAGTCATTGTGGGTGAAACTAACATGCTATATTTGCGCTAAATATTTACTCGTCTATCACGATTTCACTTCCCAGTAAACAGTTAAAACTGATTTCTTTATAAATTCGCTACCAGGTAACCCATCACCACATCAATGGACACCAAACAGTAGCAAACAGTCTTGTTATTGACGAACTGCACGCTGAAAGTCCAAAACATCTCGGAAAGATGACGCGTGCCAGCCTGCAGATGCCGACGCTACGTCGGTGTAAGCTTCCACCTGTCATAAGCGCTATGACAGACAAACAGCGCCGCGCAGACACAAACAAGCTGCGATGATTGATCTCGCTGAAGGTACGAGCTGATCGGTGGACCCGTGTTCCGGGGTTATGTGTCATTTTCACGGCGGCCCGGCACGTGTAGGAAGTGATGAGCCCGGGTGGCTGACAGGAACAGCGGAACAGTTCCACCCACATACCTCGGCGGGCAAGGAGGAACCACCCAGACATAACAACCAGTTCAGAGAAATTCGTCTCCGAGTGGCGTTTGAAAACTGTTGTTACTTGTTATAAACAGTACTTGAAAGGAACCTGCAGATGGGTACATTTGAAATACACGCGAGGAGTCATCTGTTTTGAGAAGATAATTTCGACGAGAATACATCTGAAGGAACAAAATCACATTCGAGAGCGAGGTGATATTTCAAACTTACTGCCGGTGTATTTCGGCACCCACTGGACGGTGGCCGGCAGTCCCTTGATGTTGAAGTTGTTGCCGTTGAAGCTGGTGCACTGAGCCTCTCGGAAGTCGACGTCGTGGGGCGGGCAGTCCTGACGATTGCAAGATTCGTACCTGAAAAAGGACGCAATAAAATCAATTGATACCATCTTCTCGAGATCGTACACAGCTTCAGATCGGCTAAAACGGTGTGCCACGAGCCGCCACGATGGTTCCAGCTTAACCGACATTGCCTAACATGTTATGAAAAATACCAATACCATTGAACTTTGTATTTATATGTTAAACTTAAAACCGTGATAGATTGCTTTTTTCAAACGCCACCGTTGTATAGAGTACCTATCCTAATGCATATATCCTAAATATGACCTAATGCCGCTCACTGTGCCGTGCCATCCTTCCCCACCCCGTCCACCGACCTGACCCGCTGGCCCAGGCAGTAGTCGCCCCCGTTCGAGGGTGTGGGGTAGTTGCACTCCCGTCGGGAGCGTCGGATGCCGCCGCCGCAACTCCGCGAGCAGCTTCCCCAGCTGCCGACAGGGAGGCACGTCAGTCACGCCCGTCCGGGCCGCCAGACGCCCAGCAGCAGCCCCACGGTCCCAGACCGGATAACAGCGCACTGCGGCACCACTCGGAACGGCCGCCGGCGCCCCCGAGACAGGAATGCATTTAAACATAGCTCTCCGGTCAACAAATACAACAGTTCGCAGCAACTTCGTGCCGGTCACCAGCGTTGCAAGAGCGCTGGTCACTAATAAACGGGCATTTACACCACACCGAAATGACCACTAAAACAGCAACAACAGCCACGGTGAGACATGCAAAAGACATTCAGAGCCTGAACTGTCTGCGAATAAAATACTGATTGTTTATTATGCTTAGAACAAACGCCAAACGATGACCAGTGACCTAAAGCTAAAATTCATCCGCATAGGCATCATTTGTTTCCTGCACATCAAAAACCCAAAATAGGTAAAGCGCAACTTTCCCCGTCCCTGTACGACACCATCCCTTTACAATGTATACCCGACTCTGCCCCTCGCCCACTCACGGTGACCATTGCCCCCATCCTCCGTGGACGGCCGGTCGGCTCTCTCTGGGGACACACTCTCCTTTGAGACACCACTTTCGGGGGGCGCAGGACGTCCTGTCTGCCCAGGGCATGTGCTGCGTGCGACAGCCGTCCTCCTCGGCGCCCGTGGTGCACCAGAGTCGCTTACACACCGGCTGCAGGGGGGGGGGGGGCACGGGTACGGTTAGGGGTACACACCACAGTCGATTACACAGTACACATACCAGCTGGAGGGGAGGGAGAACAGGCGACCGCAAAAGATACACAAAAGACGAAAGGCCTTCCGACTTGCAGTAGCTTCTACGCAACACCAGCGCCCTTCAGTATTGCGACAACATATTCTCCGAAAACCACACAGCTCTCCGGGAACCAGGAGCCAAGGTCAACTCCGGCTGGCGCGCGCAAGTGTCGATAAGTTTTGTGGCCGTGGCATCAGTGGGCCATCGGGGGGGGGGGGGGAGGGGTCGACCCAGGCACCGAACAACACTGTACCCCGGGGCAATGTGACCCAGGCCGACCGCTGGCGACCGGCCCAAGGATGTAGCATTAGGCAACACCATCCGCTCAATAACCGAATCCCCGCCCCCGGGCCCACTATTCCATCCCAGCCTGTTCCCGAAATATTCGCCATCCTATCAGAAGTTAAACGACACTTCCACGAGCCAACTCACCATGTACGGGCAGACTTTGAAGTGTTTGTCGGATGTACCGAACAGGAACTGACACTGCTGGCTGGCGTTGTACGTTTCACCGGGGTGTCGTACTACCTGGGTCACCTCCTCCGCAGCCCTCTGGCGCAGCTCTCCGATCGCCGCGCTCACAGAGGCCGACGGCTTGTTCTTCAGACAGCGCCCGTGGTCTCCTCTGCAGAATAGATAGGCAAGAACAAAAGTCGGGCATGGAATGAACGCCAAGTCCCGATCCAGAGGGTGGTATGGAACGTTTGGAAATGATGACTTTGTTTCTGATGAATACGTCAAGCAGGTTGATACCTATACCAAAGCGTGTGACGTTCCGGGAGTTAATGTGACCAATAAACAGTTAATGACGTCATGGTTTATTTATACTTACCTGCTGACTGGCATTGCTGCCTCAGTGCCGACTTTGCCGTAATATCTGGGGATTTGTGCTCATAATCGTCAACATTGCTGCATTATGTTGACACATTAATTTGCTACCCGACCGGACCGTACCCTGTATCATGAGACATCTGCTTTGACGGCGACTGTCACATCAGCGCTTCAACAATGCCAAACAGCTATTTACCGCACCCTTTATAGAAAGGGACATCAGCATCCTCGAAACCATCCTCGAAAGGAACGATAACAAACTGTGCACAATGTGGTAAATCCACTGCGCTAGACCTCTAATCAGCGAAAGGGTTCGACCATGCCATTAACGCACTGGCGATTTGAAGACAAGGTATGTATGTACATTGGGATCGACAGACAAAATGTTACGGAACCCTCAATCCACACAAACGGCCCCTGTTTGGGTGAGTCCCTCCGATTTTCCTGGAAGAACGTCTGCAAGCCGCACCCCACAAGCTGTGTGGAAATACTTATTGGTTTGTTGACGGGGATACTGACATTTCTACGGAATGGAGGGTAGTCTGGAATGTGATGCCATATTCGGAGGGCATTACAACGGTGTTTGACGGTGAGCTGAATGAATGAGGGATTCTGTCCTTCCTGTTGACTGCTTGCTTGCTTCTTGTTAGGTATCTGTGGTCGACACTCGGAAGAATTATTAATTTTGCTTATAATAAAAAAAAATCAACTTAAATGCGCGACGAAAGGTCATGATGTTTAACAAAATACATTCACTGATTTTGTATGATGGCTTAGGCGTCATTCAAATTTCAACCCATGGTCACTGGTCACCAGCATCGTTTCTACCTGACCATACAATACCACTCGCGCCCATAACCTGTACATGTACTCTGCATTGTGCACGCCGCACAATGCACAGCGTCCGTGGTCGCTCGGTAATGACCTCTGGTGGAATGAGCGGCGGGCGCCCCATACACCTGTGGGGGCGCGACACTTCCACGAGCCAACTCACCATGTACGGGCAGACTTTGAAGTGTTTGTCGGATGTACCGAACAGGAACTGACACAGGCGTCTGGCACTCCAGCCAGACGCCTGTGGCGTCTGGCTGGAGTGCCGTCTAGGGAGACTATGGGGTGGTGCAGGGATCTCACGCAGCCCCAGTTTGTTCGCGAGTGTGAGACAGGTCAATGGGATGAGATTCGAGAGGACGAGGCATGGAGAGCGACAGTGGCAGCCTTGCATGGATGTCAGTAGCACCGTACGTCTTTAGTAACTCCCGATGAATAGGAATACCGGCTAGTTTTTGACCAGGTTAGATCGTGATCATTAAGATTGGTGGGAGATGTGATAACAGCAAGGGTGTTATCTAACACCAAAACACTTAGCAATCGGCACGGGCACTGGTCCGCAAAAATGCACTTCAAAGGCTGACGGGCCACTAAATTGCAAAAGGATGCTGAAGATAAGGCGACAGACAAACTCCTTTTATTGTCACAGGTGGAAGAACATCACGACAATTTATTGTGTTTGTAACTTCTTGTGATAAACGTTATGCATGAGCCCATGACACAAGCTATTGATTTACGATATCCGTCAGTATTCAATCATCCCCGTCAAGAAACCACAGCCAAACCGTCTGATACCTTCACCAGCTGTCAAACGTAATCCCTTCAGCCCGTCCCGCGACCCAGACCGGAATCACATTTCAAACACGCCGCTGCCCCGTCCGACACCCATAACCCAGTTATACGCTCATCTGAGATGAGCTACCGCGCGCCTGGCCGGCCCCAGGCTGCCGTTGTGAGGTCTCTATAGCTGGTAGACCCTGAGCGGCAGCATTTACGGGTCGTAAAAGCGCCAGGTCGGCGGGCGGCGCGGTGGTCGCGCCGCCGGCTCAACACGTGCGCCCGACTGTAAATCTGCGACCGGGGAGCGGCTTCAGCGGGGAGCCGGCTGGGAGCGCCGCCACGGGAGGTGTGGTGGTCTTGATATAGGCGGAAGAGAAGACATAGACACGGCTTTAGCAACGGGCAACGGTAGCGTAGGTACAAAGTGTCGTATTCTTTTCATGGAAATAGCCTCACTTGGTCAACTGAGCGCGCTAAATGTTTAGTTTCATTAGCAAAAGTCTAAAAAAAAACCTTGAGAGTGAGTTGCGAGATGTAATTTTGATACGACTAACGTTTATCAATGCAGCCCTTGAAGTTGACTTTCGTAAGGGCTTCGACTCTTCATGGTTATCGACATAAAAGGATATCCTAGTGAAGCTGGATTCCACTTGCGGTGTTTCTTTGTAAAACCGCGATAGCTGACGAACAAGCAACATCGTCAGGTGCAGTTCTCTATAAACTTCAAACAAAAGTCGCAAATGTGGCCGACGAAAATGTCCGACAGGGTGGATTGACACGAATACTCATGATAATCACGAACCATGGAAAACAAAATCAGCCATCCATGACGTCCGACTCCGCCTGAGAAGCTTTCCGATGTTGCAGCGCCGTCATTATTTGTAGGCACCAACACATAAAAGTCATGGCATGGTCACACATTGTTTGCATTGCAGGACGAGTGCCGGAAACGTCACAGAGGGTGAGGGAACCCTATGGGCACACAAACTTATACGCTAAGCAATCAGCGAAGCAAGACGGAACGAGCGTACGTTTTTAGCGGTCAGTGCTCTAATGCTCTAAACAAGCACCATTCTATTTACCTAGTTACTTCTCAGAAACTGCATCCTATGAATACTCACTTTTCTTTCCAGGCACTTGGACTCGGTATTCGGTAATCCTGAAGGTACTCGGTACTCACAAGAGGTACCCGGCACTCACTAGAGGTACCCGGTACTCACTAGAGGTACCCAGCATTCACTGGCGATACTCGGTACTCACTGGAGGTACTCAGTGAAGAAGTGTCGACTGCAGTTGGACCACGCCCAGGGGTGGGTATCGTGATTAAGCATCCGTGACATGGCGTACTCGGTCTTGTTCTGTCCCATGTGCGGCTTACACTTGACGTCGTCGTCATGAGGAATGTTCAGTCTGCCGAACAGCAACACAATGGGTATATCATCGGCGACGACGGTTAGTTGATTTATTATTCACACTCAACATCGGAGTGATACAGTGATATCGAGCGCATGTTGTAATGCTGGTATGCGGAATGTGGATTATTCTGGTTGCGCTTATCATTTTTAAAAGCGATTTCTAAAGGCATGTCGGTTTTGGCAGTCATCAACAACAATACGGTGTTTACAAGTTATGAAGTACACAGTACACACGGCAGACAATATCAATACAACATGATAGCAAATACGAGCAAAACATCTCTTAGCGAAGTGCTTGCTTATGATTTGCACTGAAACTAAATGGAACTGACGACGGAAGACGACAGTGCCGGAAGACTGGCATTGACGACAAAGCCATAAATAAAGATTCATCCTTGTTTGTCTTGAACGCACCCAGGCAAGCATTTAAAGGTGATTAACACAAATAGCAAGGACCTTTTGCAAAAAATTCCGCAACTCAGGTTTGTTTTTAGATAGAAAACATAATTCTAACGAACAAGTCTTCAGCTGATGAACATAAACCTCCAGTTAAGCCGTAAGAAGACATGAAAACAAACAAGAAAAGAAGCTGATGCAAAGTGAATAGGTAAAGCACAGTAAGAGGTAGGTATTTTTTTTTGCATCGATCTCGTCAGATAAATCATCCAGTGCCAATTACCGCTCAGCCAACTCATCACAATCGTCTAAAATTCAGAAGTAATTAAGCTTCAATCATCCCCGATGTTCCTCAGATGAAACATGTTGAAAATGCAGCTGCAAAGCATTGTTCACTTATAATGCCATAATTATCACGATAGTTATGAATGGTGATGTTTTCCGATTAGCCTCTAGGATCGGAAATATGTATTCTGCAGTCCATATATTGTAGTTAATATTGTTCAACCTTGTTTACTGGATATAAAAACATCACAATTATACGCGATAAAGCCTGCAGCTATGTACACTGTAAAAAAATCGACTGCTTGTGGCGCGCGTGTCCTCCCGCTACTCACACATGTCCTCCCGCTAATCACTTACACATGTCCTCCCGCTAATCACCCGTGTCCTCCCGCTAATCACTCACACATGTCCTCCCGCTAATCACACGTGTCCTCCCGCTAATCACTCACACGTGTCCTCCCGCTACTCACACGTGTCCGAGCTCGTGGGCCACGGTGAAGGCGGCACTGAGTCCGTTGTCCTGGACGATCGAGCACGAGGAGCGTGGGTCACACATAGTGCCCAGTTCGGCCAAACCCAGTGTGTCGCACTGCAGCGAGTTACGGCAAATGTTCTCCCTGTAATACAGAGGTCAGCTTAGGTCAGGTCATGTCGTGTCACACTGCAGTACGTTACCGCAGGTATTTTCCCTGTAATACAGAGGTCAGGTTAGGTCGGGTCAGATCACACCGTTGCAACTGTGGGCTGCAGTACCTAGACGTAATGGGGAGTAAACGTCAGGCCACGTCAGGTCAGGTCAGGTCAAGCCACATCACTATAGATTAGGCTACGACAGATATCCTGTGGCTCGTATATGTGCTAATGCCACCTCAGGTCGGTTCAGAAACATGGCTGTGCCATTTTCGTAACGTGTGGACAAGCGAACAATAACAGAAGCCTGAAGCAATTACCGAGTAAGACGAAAGGAGCAACAGTGATCCGGAATTGAAGCAAAATATCGCTCATAATAATAGTAATCCGGTTATCAATTCAAATCACAATTACTTCTTGTCAGTGATCAGTGGTCATGTTATTACCCGAAACAAGATTTATGTGCGATATACAGTCTCGTCGAATCAAGCGTACTTTAATTAGACGTGACATTGCTGGTAAAACTGATGTGTTGATGATAAAATGGAACTGAAACGCACAGATCGTCCAAAGACAACAAGTCTCCGGGCATTTGTTCAGCCCGACAGCCTTTCTGGAATGCGCACGGTAACGTCCCTGAATGACGCTGCAGGTTTGCGTAAGTTTCTGTCGCATTCAGTCAATATGCCAAGCACGCATACCAACAATGGGGAATTATGAGACTGGTGGAATGTCCACTATTTCAATATTGTCAGAATCTGCAGCAAAACAAGCTTTAAGATACCATATAAAATATCAACTCAGTCGGAACGGCACGCAATAACTCTGCATCGTATGTCACATTATCCGGTGCAGTAAACGCTTCCTTGTTACCGCATAAAATATAAATCACTCTATCGATCGGGCCGTACTGCAATCTTGTAAGTACCTTTCTCAATCGGTGAATTCAGCAGCCTATGTTAAAATCGCGGTCAATTTAATGGGCGCATCACCTTTGCGTCGTCTTCTCTCTTCTCAGAAGGTCCGACCTCGACATGGATAACCCGGCCTCCGCCGCGGCCACGTCACTCGATTCACCGTTCCCGTGGTGGACACGTGCCTTACATGCCCTGTTATGCACCGACTGCTGCAGATGCCGAGGGCCGGCCGTGTTTTCCGGCCCTTATGAGTCTATCTGTGACCGCGGAGCGCGGACGGCCGGTGCCGGACGGGCTCCCCGGCGCCCCGGCACGGGACTCGATCTGGTCATCAGTGACCCATCAGCGGGGCAACAGGACTCATCCCGAATGGACGACCACCAATGTGGGGTGTAAATGTGAGCCTGGAGCCAGCCTCGAGCCAGCCGCTGCCAGCACTGGATGAAAACAAAGCGTTTCTAGCGGGGCCAGGGGCTGGGCGAATGTGACTGGGAATTCAGTGAAGCGGAATCCAAAACAACTGTTTGCATGAAATCCAAACATTGAGCAGCTTGCGATAGATACGGCTGAAAAGCTACGACAGTCAGGACTCGTCTGTTGTCAGGTGATAATTGCTGACCATGGAAACACAGCCTAAATATAACTATAACTATATTACCGCATATAACGTAACATTAAACATAACATTAGTCGTGTATCAACAAATAAATATGTAATGTCTAGCGACAAAAGGTAAAGGTGGGTATGTCAGACGTCTTGGCATGCATCGTGAAAACCAGGCAGGTATGTAGATACTTTTATAACCGAAGGTTTGTTGTCAATAGTTAAAACACTATTCTTTAGAATTGTGTTTTTCTATTGAAAAACAAATCTGAGTTCCTTGAAAATTTGGCAAAAGCTGCCTGAGATCTAAGCAGTGACAGCTCATGCAGTTGACAAATGTCCCTACTCCCTACCTTGTTAGAAGGACCGCCGTGTCGAAATGAGCTTGACTGTTGACATCAGGGTCATTCAAGGTCTGCTGCCACTTACAGAACCTGTAACGAAATGAGACATTTTTACCACAACAAATACGAAATACTTCTTGCATCGAACAGCTGAACACTTGAACGTAACACTTGATAAACTCACACAACTCAACATTCTGTGCAAATTAAATTCGGTATCACAGCATAAACCGTGCATGAGCACGAACGCGTGTACGCGCCCTGCACCTGTAATCCCGACCAAAGTAGTAAGAGCCTACCAGTTTGCTGTTTGCCTCTTGTTTAGCCAACATGTGGGTGGCAAGAATAGGAGGCTTGCTGAGCACCGTTCGGCCGCGCTGAGATCACCACCATTCAGACCGACGGACGCGTGTACACTGACCTGTGCAAAACTGCTGACGCCGACTTGCCGTTCTTCCATGAGGCCTGCTTGTTGGCGTCTAGCACGTCTTCGTCGATGAGAACAATGCGAACCACGGATATTGTTATAGAGTTGCCAATGCTGGGATCCTTGTATATACGAGATACCTGAAAAACATCAGTCGATCGGTCAGTCATTACCTATGGCACATGCTGATTGCTGAACCATCTTTGATAATATAAGATAAACGAATAATAATGTTCTCCCGCTTATATCGACAAGGACATGTTTGTTTAATTTGAACGCCTTGTTTACGAATAAATATTTGTTTATTGACCAGCAGCACTAGTCACCATGCTGCTGTTTTATCAGTCATTAAACGCTGTGATCCCAAAGACCAGTCATAACACCTGCTGCTGCATGTTTATCCATTCTCTCACCTTCCCGGTACAGAATTTCCACGAGTTTGCCTCTGAAGTCCATTTCTCGGAACACACCCTCCTAGATGTTTTCTTCTGACCTCTGAGCCATCGCTACCGTTTTGATAGGCACCATTACCTACCGGGACGACGCGGGGGATCCGCCGCCGTATTTACGATAGAGGCCTGCTTCCGTGTCCGATCAGCACGACTGGCCGCCGCACCTCAGGGGAAGGGGGGAGAGGGGGGGGGTCTCACAGGGCACAGAGTGCTAACACACCGAGCGAGACGTCTCGACAATTGACGTCATCCTCCCCCCCCCTTGCGGACGCTGACGGGATCATCACACCTGATGACACCCACCGCTCAGCATCAGCTCAGTTCGCTGTAGGGGAGCGGTCGCGCGCGTCGTCTGTTGCGTCAGGGATGTATCCCGGAGATCGCCTACCCGGTAGGTCATCGCGGGAAAGATGACAATAAATAAGCATGCAGTCGGCTTTTCCAGACTGAATGTCTGCCTCGTCGTGGATCTCGAGCTTGCTGCAGACTGCATGGAAGTACATGACAATTTATGGCAAATAGATGACAAGGCTTTACCTAAAATGGATGTGCTCTCGTGACGAGTTATGAATCCATATGTCGACTACGCTCGAGAGGAAATCCTGCATCATCGGCTAGCTAGGTTAGGACGGTTAACAGCGCGCAACTGGAAGTTTATAAAACCATGAGACTGGCCGATGCTGCAACTCGCTGGTATCGCGGTATTGATAAAGGTACCATCTTTGTCCTTGTCCAGAAGATATCGGCGCCTCGGCGAGAGAAATGACGATGTCAGCGCACAGCCTCATGCGCCACATAATGAACGTCTCCTTATGCACGCGGACGTGCCGCAAGAATGCCGTGAGAGCCAACTCCGTGTGCTAATACACCCGTCCCTCTGCAGGGGACAGCTAAGTGGCCGGGAGGGAGAATCAATCACGAGCCGCGTACCTAGTGACCTCTGCTCACGACGGGAAATGCTCACAGAGACCAGCGGAGCTGTGTGTTTTGCTTGAAGTTGGCTGGAATTTCATGACATCATTAAAACGTAGGTACTCGTATACGTGATTTATCGTAGGCATAAGAAAACTTATTTTGATAGCACCGCGAAATTAATCCTCATTCTTCAACATACCAAACTGGATTTTTAATTTCAGTATACCTAAATGTCAGAAGTCGGATCTAATCATCGACAAACATACAAAATCTACATTAGGTAATTGACAATCCAGACGCAGTTTTTAGTTTTTACTTACTGTAGACATGAGCGCCAGGATGTATTGTTTCAGCTGACTGCCGTGGTATTTGGCCATCTTGGAGTCGGCCGCCACCATCACCTCAACGTAATAGGGCTCGCTGGTGGAGCGGCGACTGCGCCTGAAGTCGTCATCCTGGGCTGCCGGCAGGGCAGGTCAGAGGTCAACAGCCAGGGGTCACCGAGGCTTACCGGCACGGCACGTGAGAGGTCAACACTCAACAGCCAGGGGTAACAGAGGTTCACTGGCACGTCAGGTCAGACGTCACCAGTCATGGGTCATCCAGAGTCATTCTCAGGTCAGGTCAGAGGTCAACAGCCACTGCCAGGTAAGGTCAGAGGTCACCAGCCATGGGTCACCCAGGATCATTGTCTGGTCAGGTCGGATATTAATGGTCAGCACTAGGTCAGGTCAGAGGTCAACAGTCAAGTGTCACCGAAGGTTTTTGGTCAGGTCGGAGGTCAAGAGTCATCTGTCGCCACCTGCGAGGGATATGGCCAATGGCCATGGAAGGTCGGAGGCGCATACAGACTGCAGGGCTGTTGCCAGGTCAGGTCAAAGGTCAGTGACGATAGGCCACGCACGATGGGCAAACTGAGATAAAGAATAAGGAGTCAATATCTTCGGTGGATATATTGTGAGCCGTCGTAACGAAACAAAAATAGGTACATGGTTGCTTCATCAATAATACCTATATGGTTTTTAGGAAAAGGTAAAATGAATATTGCAAGACTTAAATCGATAATATATAGCCTCTTTATTATCAAATTAAGAGACGTGCAGTCCCATCAATAGAAGTATGCATAGCATCTGACTAATTAATTTAAGAACTGCAATGTCATGCTATAAACCACCGCTTTTAATGCATCCAGTTACTTTTACATGAGCCCGTTTACCACGATTCTGGATGCTTGGTACTTTGGGATGTTCCGTCCGCTTATCTGATAAAGCTTAATAGCTGCATTAAATTTAAAAATGTGGTTGTTGACAGCCCACGATCCGCTTATAGCACTGCAGCATCAGCAAAGTCATATTTACGGACCGGGGAGCGAGACTGTGAATCGATGCCAACAACCGACGATAAGCCGATTGACTGGCTGGGTAGCATTTCTCGAACCGCTCCAAATCCTCCACTGGGTAACAGCAAATGTCACATCTCACGGCTGTTTGCCTAAATTTATGTTGAGGAGTGACATCCGTAAACCTATTTGACACACAGGTACTTTAACGATTTCTTTTATTATCTGACGATACCCACACAAATAGCCTGATAGGTGTAAAAACGTTTTTTTCCGTTATATGGTTGCAAGTATGGGGTAGGCTTCGATCCCACCCCAGCAGAGTTCCGACCCGTTGCCCCGTCCCGGACCGGCGCGGCCGTCGCGACGCGTCGGCGCCGTCATGTCCCGCGGCTGACCTGAGCCCAGCGGCGCCGTCGGGTACCGCTGCAGGTGGTGGGCGCCGGTAGTGCTCTGAGGCGCTTCCTCCGACGGCCAGATCAGGTAGCTGCCTTCAGAGGTCCGGATATGACCCGTCTGAAACACGAGAGAACGAGACACGGTCAGGGTGACACGAGAGAACGGTGATGAGTAAGCGTGGGCTGCTGTGTTCAGTCATAATAGATTTATGGCTTCCTGGTCGTTTTATAGTGGGAAAGTTGTACTTTTTTAGGCACGCAAGTTAATTTGGTCGCTGTGGTCACCTCATTCGTTCGGTCACGCACTGCCAAATAAGGGGTCACGATGGTCACGTGATGAAGAGCATATATAGAGCACATCAAGAGCAGATCTGAGACGCGCCGAGTAGTGACCGACGTCGAGACGACACACTCTCAACACAAAGGCTGCGCCCTATCAAGCCCAGTCTCCAAACAGAGCCACAAGTGACGCTGGCGACAGCCGGTGGAACGGGACCGTTCCTCCGTGCCGAGTGAGGCTGTCAGTACAGTCGTCACCGCTGCAGACTGCGGCGACGGCGACGGCGACGCCCGTCTCCACTCCTGTCGGGCCATGGTGGTCAGCGGGCTCCCGCTTTGATGGACCGGCGACGTGTTGGTAAACTACGTCAAATCCTCACGGGATGAGCCATGTGACCGAGTGACTCATCAATAGTCGATAGTCGCTTAATAGTCAGTAGGGACAGTCACTAGTGCTCAATAGTTTACATGGTCAGCGCGGTAAAGCCACAAGAAGTGATTGTACATAAAACACCCAGTCTTTTACAGGAGTTCAGCACTTATGTCTGCTGTATTAATGAGAAGACGTTTTTGGCTGTTGTATCTCGTAATGTCGCTGCCCGCCCCTCGGCTGACGGGACAACGTGATAGGATCGCTGTGAAAATGGGCGCGGACCGAACTCAAAACACAGCTATCGACACCCGTTGGCTTTTACCGCGCAAGTACGGAGGGAGGTTTTCATGTAGAACACAGCGGCGAGAGGACGGGTGTGCCCGTGGACGATGGTGATGGGACTGATGTAATATTAATACGTCAGCTTTGTAGCCTCAATGTGTTTTGTGCATAATGCTTGGGCAGAGTCCGTATGGATATTTACCTATTCGTACTTGCATGTATGTTTATATATGCTTAGGGCACGGACGAGCAAACCCCGTTTTTGCCAGCAGGGAAAGGTACAATACTGGTTGGGCTGACCTTTTTAGGCTGAGCTCGTGTTGACGAAATGGCAATTCATGCATCACCCGTCTGAATTTCTTCAAGTCAGTCCCGAACTGATGCCTTGCTGAAACGATATTCCTCAAATCGCCGGCGCAAATAAAGCGTTGGGATCTGTTAATTTCAGTTTGTGTATTTCAACCGTATACTTCAGTTTCCAGCTACGAGAGCCGAAAGATAAAAGGAGCTAAAACAGCTGGTAAAGACAGAAACTGCAATCTCAATATTATCATATATTTTATCCATTGTTTTATTTATTTGATAGCAGCCAACTTACAACACCGGCACGTTCGGGTCAGGTCAGCAGGTCACACGAATCGCACGCTTATGCGACGGCCTCGACCTCGCAGTAGAAGCCGGGTCCCGTGATCGACTCATCCGAGCGGAAGACCACCTCGAGGGGCCCGGACACTGTCTGTACCGGCGGGCCCTGCTGGCCACAGTACTTCCTGCCCAGTACCTGCAGCCAGTCGTACCCGCAGCTGCTGTTCGCCTCCACGTCAAACTCGCAGCAGGCGAACGTCATGCTGCTGACGCCGATGCCGGGGCTGAGGGTGTAGCTACAGTTGTCGTAGTTGCCGTAGTTGTTCGGGTAGTTGGGCGACTGGACGGTGTATACTCCCGGAGACAGGGTGTGCGTGCCGCACGAGAGCACGGTGCTCGTTCCGCGGGCCAAAATGGTGGGGTCGTCGATCTCAGAGGACGGCTTGGCCAGCGCCAGGGCCGCCACGGAGCAGAGAAGCAGCAGGGTCTTCATGTCAGCTGCCTGGGCGGGTGCAGCGGAGCAGAGAAGTCCTCCACTAGTGACAGAGGATGGAGTCGTGAGACGTGGCTGAAGGCGGCGAGGACTGCACTTATATGGCGCCCGGTAAGGTGCACTGTCACGGCACAAGTGTTAACAGTCGTCTATGCGTTATGATAAGCAATTTCTTTGAAAGGCTGGCAAAGTGTGTGAAAATTGCTTAGGTGACCGAGCAGACGCCTCTGCACTCCACTTGTGCTCTGGCTCATGTCACGACTGATTGACAGGTAATAAGACGTACGACTTATTAGACGGAAATGACGAATCAAAACTGAAATATCATCACTTTTTCGAATCGTAGGTACAACTTAAAGCTATATCATGTGAATCTCCGAACATAAAAGCGGCGATACAGGATGAACGAACTACGAAAGTGAACCAACTGATGGCTTCACTTCATTGAACAGGGGAGCGTCGTAAATCAGGCTTAAAATTGTATGGTTAGGCATAAAATGTGAACCTTATGTCAATACCCCAGAGGCAGACGCAATAAGTTAACCCTCGCCGGACCTATTGGTTTTCTACATACGCGCCGGCCGAGGGGAGGGGGGGGGGCGGGTACGACCCCCTCGCCATTTCGCCCCTGGTGGAGCTAGCGTGTCGCGAAAAAAAACGAGCGTGTGCGCCGTTACGAGAAGCAGAGATTGGTACCAGATTTTAAGGTCTTTGGTCAGCCGGTCACCTCTGAGGTCAGGTCAAGTGCCCCGAGGTACGGTTCAGTTTTTGGTGAATAACTTCGCAAAAAACGGCCACAGAGCCGCGATTTTGGCAGCATCGTGATCGCCTCGCTCAGGCGCGTCGAATGATGCACTTTTTGTTTAGGTCAGGTCAACTAAGGGTGTGACCACACTCAGCTCAGGTTACGGTCAGGTCAGCGCCCCTAGGTCACGAAGTTGGTCGAAAGAGGTCATGTCGCATATCATTCGATTCGGCAGGTCTTTCTGAGTCCATTGGTGGCTTTCCCCACTCGCTAGCTCAATTTGATCGGGAGTTATTGACGAAAAACTAATATGACCTTGATGGCGTCATAAATGACGTCACACAAGGTCAACATTGTTAAAGTGACGCATCTAACCTTGCAAGGAAAGCATCAAATCACGATTCTGTGTGCTCGAGATAGTTGGAGATCGTTCCCGGCGCCAGAATAGCAGTTTTTATTTTTCCCCATTGCATTGACTTATAATGGTGAGGTCACGAAAATGACCTGACCTCATATGACCTTTAGGAAAAATCCGAGATATACAAGTTGTGAGACTCGTAATGGATACTAGATCCTGCAAGTTTCATTTTCCTGTGAAAGCTCCTCTGGCAGTGAGGGCGTTGCGAAGTTGCGACATCTGAAGACCGTGCAGAGGTTCACTTATGACGTCATAGGTCAGTGACCTGACCTGACCTGAAAATGTGGTTGGTGTCAAAAGATCCGGCTTGAATCAAAGGTCAGGTATGCCAAGTTTCAGCTTTCTATAGCCAGCGTGATCGGAGCTATCGCGAAAAAAACCCTATCGGGAGAGGGCGGCACCCGCTCCCCCCCCCCTTGGCCGGCGAGGGTTAATACACATAAATGGAAATGGAGCGAGAATGTATAGCAATTTTAACACGCATTTTTTGTGGTCGACTAAATGAGTGCACGTTTATTTGTAAGGCTGTGGCCATTCAAACCTTAACCAAGAAAGTGAAACTGCGACTGCATGTTCAATCAAATAAGCATATGACCAAGAAAAAGTGAAAACGCGATTTGTTCGAAACTTGGTCATCGCCATCTCCGTTTATACAATGCTATTCAAAAGAAGTTTAGGTCAACGCAATATCAATGTAATCACGACACTTGACGCATCCAGCTAGAAAGCTATGCAGAAATAGCCTGATTTGTGTCTTATTAAAGGGACCCTCCCACCTTAACATTAGATTTGAGTTGAGATAGCCAAAATGGGGTCCCTGGCTCACAATTAGGGGAAGTTGGGGCAATGCCAGAGTTGGGGCAAAGCCGAAATTCGAGATATTTCGAAAACCGTAAGACATGGATGCCACCTTTCAGTGATGCTCTGAGGCTTAAGTGACTACAATTATCGCATGTTTGTTACGAGTCGTCATTCGGAATACTTCGGCTGTGAGGGCGCCAAGAGCGTTTTCAAGGTACGCGTTCCTTGTACTACATGCGCCTTTGAAGCTGCATTTCTTACTCATTATGCTACCGTTTGTCTGGCCAATTCGGTCAAGTAATCTTCAGCATGTCTTTGCATAAGTGTGCTGCCTATTTGAAATTTATACGGCACGTTGAAAAGTTATGGGCCTGCAAATGAAAGTATGGCTGGCTGGGGTAACGCCGAAAACGTGCAATTACGCACGTTAAAGCACGCTACGTGGACTTTACTGCTGTAGAATAGCAACGCGAATTTTTAGTCACACAAATTACACTTTCAACCGACACAACGGCCTGTTACCTATAAGGAATTATTTACCTGGCATTTTCTTATTATATCACACAATTATAACTTCCAGTGTGCACCAAGCGTCCTCAAGCTCTTAAAACGCGTGTCAGCTTTGATAAATTCTGGATAAAGTTTGAGATAAAGTGGCAAAACATCAATGCCGGCATTCCCCGTAGATCATTTCTCCCATTTTCGGCTTTCCCCGCAGTCCGGGGCAACGCCGAAAAAGTCACTTCTTTGATATTTTTAGTTTGTGCGCTTAACGGTATGCGAATTCATCAAATGCGCCTGATATGTTTGAAAGGCAAAAGACTGGCCTCTCGAATGACGCCAACAAGAATAGCTTATGTTGTCTACCTTGCGTGCTACGGGCGTCAGAAAAAAAGTATTCGGCGTTCCCCCAACTTCCCCTACCGGTTTCGGCACTCACAGCATCGAGAAATGCCTTAAATCGGAAATATTAAATTTCAAAATTGCAGCATTTTGATTCAGAGGGGCTAATGCATAGGAATACCCCTCTGAATGTGTGACGTCAGCGCAGATATCTAACGATTTTTAAATGTTTGACTAAAACGTTTTGTAGCACGCGGTGGTATATGCTGCTTTGCGCGCAACATCTGCCGCGAACGCCG